CTCGCACGTTTCGTGGCCCATATGGGGAGCTCCACCCGAGGCACCAGTGGCAAAGTTCGCATGGCGGCCCCGCCCCATTTCGGCGCACCCCTCGCACGTTTCGTGGCCCCTATGTGGAGCTCCACCCGAGGCACCAGTGGCAAAGTTCGCATGGTGGCCCCGCCCAATGTCGGCGCACATCTCACACGTTTCGTGGCCCCATAGGGAGCTCCACCGAAGGCCCCAGTGGCAAAGTTCGCATGGCGCCACCGCACCCATTTCGGCACACCCCTCACGCGCTTCGTGGCCCCATCGAGAGCTCCACCGAAGGCGCGGCCCACAACTGCGGTACTCACAATTGTACATGGTTGGGTCCGTCGCCAGGATAATTTCTTTCTATGTTCCATGTTTCCCTTTATAAATACATTCCATGCGTTGCTGATATATATATATATATATGCATGTCTGTATAATAATGTATAAACATATGCCACATAAATAGTGTGAATTCAAACATGCATACATATGTATAGGTGTGTGTTAAAGATGCTCCACTACGTCCCGTGAATCATTTTGAATAAATATGGCCCATATGCTCCACTAGGTTCCAATCTGTTCCACTGTGTACCACTACATGTTCCACAGAGAGACGCAAATCCCAGGACTACCCTTCACTTCCCATATGTTCCATATGTTCCTGGGCGCTTCTGTTTCCCTCCCGAGTCATGGGGATCTCTGTGGGGCGCTGCCCGACGAGGAGCCGAAGAAGGACCGAGAGGGCGAGCTGAGGCGCGCCGGCCGCCCCTTCCCAGCCGGAGGAGCAGGAGGACGACGACGAGGAGAAGGAAGGGACACGGAGAGCATGAAGGTAGGGGAACAAGCAATGACATCAACGTAACAACTCGGGGGTCCGTGCGGATTCCTCGGATCGGAGCTAGGGTCCCTGGCGGGATCTCCGGCGCCGCCCCTGGCGCGCTCCCCGAGCCAGGGAAGGGGATCTGGCGCCGGTCCGTGAAATCCGCGCGGACCTCCGGGTTTGTGCCCCTGGAGCATGAGGGGCGGGAGACCGAGCCCAGGGGACAAAGACGACGAGCGGAACAAGTGATGGCTGTTCCAGGCTGGCTTCACGGCATAGGGTCGGAGGCTGTTCGGAGGATCGCTGTGAACCCGCGCGCCCGAACAATCGTCATGCAAGCGCCACATGGCTTGCCGTTGCAGCCCGTGGGCGACGAATCCTCGCTTCCCCACACCTGTCCGCTCCCACGCTCTCCCTCGCCCTACGCCTCCTCCTCCTCCTCCCCGCAATCTCCTCCTCCTCCTCCTCCTCCTCCTCCTCCTTCTCCTCCTCTTCCTCCTTCTCCTCCTCCCACTCATCCTCCTCCCCCTCGTCTTCCTCCTCCTCCTCCTCCTCCTCCTCCTCCTCCTCCTCCTCCTCCTCCTCATCCTCCTAATCCTCCTCCTCCTCCTCGTGCTTCTCCCTCTCTTCACACTATCGGCCCCGCGTGGCCCGGGACCTGTCCCAGGAGTGCGCCTGCCCAGAGCGCCTGCCCAGGGGAATCCCGCCGTGGCCGCCGGAGGCCTGCCCGAGGCCCGAAGAGCGAGCGGAGCGCGCCCGAGCACAACGGTCCTCGAGCAGCGGACGCCGACCCGCGATCGCGCCAAGAGAGGTACGGTCGGACTTGATTGGGCAGGACGCGCGAGAGGACACGGGACCCTTCCAAGGGCCACACTGCCACAGGAAGGCGGGAGGCATGGGTCGCGAGATACAGGACACCAGGGTGCTCTTGACTTGGGAGGGTCGACCTACGAATCGGGGCCGACTGGAAGGCGCGCAGAGGGGGCGGAGCTTCTGGGAAGGCCCGGAAGGCCTCGAGCACTCCGAGAAACTGTCCGGGCCCCTCTCCGAGGACAGCGACAACAGGAGGCCCGAGGGCTTCTGAGAATCGGGGGCGCGCCAACATGGACTGGCGATCCGTGGACTTGGCGCGCGGTCGCCAAGTCCACGGATCGGGGGAGGTGCCCTCCCCAGAATGCGGCCAGCGCCGCCTCGCTCGGCGGCGGAAACCCGCGACTCCCCGTGGAAACGGGACCCGTCGCCAATCCAAGCCCCTCAGTCCATGCCTGCGATCGCCTGAGAGAAGCCCCGCCGCCTCCTGCGGAGGTCCCAGAGGCCTGCCCCTCCTCACTTCCCCCTGGGGCGCGCCGCCGCTCCCGGCCCACCCGTGCGAGGCAGGGATTTATCCAGATCCACCGCCTGGGAGCCGACGTCCTGGTGCCCCAGCGGGCGGTGGATATGGATATATTTCGGCCCCCGGGGGCCCGAATGTGTCCGTATCCACCGCCTGCCGAGGCTCCGAGAACTGACCCTCCAGGCGGTGGATATGGATAAATTCCCGCCTCGGAACCCGTGTGGCTTCGCGCAGCGCGCCCCGCGGTGCCCGCCCCTCGACGCCACGCCTGCTTCGCGGCGCGAGCCCGCAGAGGCCTCTCGACCCGCTTCGGTCGGACCTGGAGTCGGGTCGGGCACGTCCTCCTGCAGGCGGCCTTTGGGCGAAGAATGAGAAATGGCCCCCCAAAAAATATTCAAATAGATTCGAAAACTGACAAACAAATCGTCCCCCGACTGCTGTTTGACTATTTCTCGAGATTCCTCCTGCAGAGGGGCAGGCCCAGCTTCAGCCTGGGACAGGAGAACATCCCTCGAGAGCATGGAGCCCTCCGCCGGACCAGACTGCCGAAAAGTTCGAGGACACCCTCCTCGTCCTCCTCCTCCTCCTCCTCCTCCTCCTCCTCCTCCTCCCCCTCCTCCTCCTGTTCCTCTTCCTCATCCTCCTCCTCCTCATCCTCCTCCTCCTCCTCCTCCCCCTCCTCCTCCTCCTCCCCCAGGGTGCACAGAAGCATCCAACAGACACGAAGAACATGTCGGTGGCGACCCACGGGAGCCTCCCATACCATCTTGTCGGCTCTTGCGGAGCGACGCTGATCGACGCTAGTCGGCGCTAATCGACGCCAAATCGACGCGAATCGCCACGAACCGACGCGACAGCGGGACTATGCAATCCACCTCCAGACGCGTATCGACGAGAATCGACGCCGAAGACGGAATTGGGAGGGTATTCCAGGCTCCCACGACTTGCTACCGAAGAACACGAAGGCACCCTCCCCGAACCGACCTCGATCTGGTACCTCGGATCGGGGATCTTCTGACGCGGGTCAATCCAGACCCGGGTCAGCAGGAAACCAAAAAATTGCAATGCAGAAAAACAAACAACCAAAAAAACTGCACCGCAAGTCTTCGCAAACCCGGGTCAGCCAACATGCGCGGCTGCCCCACGGTCACGAGCGGCTCGCTAGCCCGGGCCAGCCAAAGAGGGCCTTCGCAAGATCCTGCAAAATCCGGTGCCCCGGCCGACCCCCGTTTGCATTGACCCCCGTCCCATCCGAGGCGGGAATTTATCCATATCCACCGCCTGGAGGGTCAGTTCTCGGAGCCTCGGCAGGCGGTGGATACGGACACATTCGGGCCCCCGGGGGCCGAAATATATCCATATCCACCGCCCGCTGGGGCACCAGGACGTCGGCCCCCAGGCGGTGGATCTGGATAAATCCCTGCCTCGCACGGGTGGGCCGGGAGCGGCGGCGCGCCCCAGGGGGAAGTGAGGAGGGGCAGGCCTCCGGGACCTCCGCAGGAGGCGGCGGGGCTTCTCTCAGGCGATCGCAGGCATGGACTGAGGGGCTTGGATTGGCGACGGGTCCCGTTTCCACGGGGAGTCGCGGGTTTCCTCCGCCGAGCGAGGCGGCGCTGGCCGCATTCTGGGGAGGGCACCTCCCCCGATCCGTGGCTCCCGCTCGGATCGGCCGCGCCCAGGGACCGGCTGATGCCTCCCGGGCCGCTCGCGGACGGCCACCGGGCCCGGCGGGCGCCCCCGTGGTGGTCCACGGGCGGCCGGGAGCGGCGCGGAGCGCCCCGCGCCGCGCGGCGTGCGGCCCGCGGCTGCCGTCGCGCCCCAGCTGCAGGTCGGGCATGTCCCCCCTACCGGCGGATCTCGGAAGAAATATTAAGAGTTGCCACCACAACAACAACAACAACCACAACAACAACAACAACAACAACAACAACAACAACAACAACAACGACCGCATCAACAACATCAACAACAACAACAACAACAACGACCGCATCAACAACATCAACAACAACAACAATAACATCAACAACAACAACAACAACAATAACATCAACAACAACAACAACAACAACAACAACAACAACAACAACAACAGCAACAACAACAACAACAACAAAACGCCGTTCTGGGCTGTGCCTCCTGCAGGGCGACGTGCTCGAGGTTTACCTCGGCTGCCCCGATGCGCAGCACGCAGCCCGTGGCGTGTCGGCACGGAGCTCGGCCCGTGGACGGGAAGCGCAGGTCTGACGCGGCACGCTCGCCGGGACGTGGGCCAGCACGCCGGGCCAACACGCACCGTGCGGACTCGGACGCCTGGAGCACAGTACGCGCTGCGTCTGAAGGAGGGGCGCCTCGAGGCAGCCAAGCTTCGCGCCCGCGCGCCCGCGCGCCGAGGACGACGACGACGACGACGACGACGACGACCGCGACGACGACGACGACCACGACGACGACGACGACGACCACGACGACGACGACGACGACGACGACGACGACGACGACGCAGCTTCACGCCCCGCGTCTGGGGGCCCTCTGCTGCGCCGGCTTGGCCAGCAGCCAGGCCAGGCAGCGCGCCCTCGACCCTCGATCGCCGAGCCGGGAGCCTCGAGCCTCGAGCAAGACGAGGCAAGGACGAGGACCAATTCGGGTGAGGATAAGTCGAGAATCTTGGAGATCCCGCGGATCTGGAAGATGTCTCGGGCGCCGCGGCCTTCTCGGAGCGTTCGGGGGGACGTTCCAAGAGCACCCCGGAGCGCTCTGGAGCGGACTTGCCCTCGCCCTGGCCACGTCCGATCGAGCCTCGAGCCTCGCCCCGCGCCCCTCCGCTGGGGCCTTTTGCTGCGCCTGCCTGGCAAGCTTCAGCCAGACGGGGACGTCGGCCCCCTCGGCCTTCGGACGCGGGGCTGCCGACGAGGATCCGCAGGAGTGGCCAGGTGGCCCTGTGCGATGGCGGTTGCTGCTGTCTGCTTGCGCAGTCAGAGCTACCAAGAAGGCCCGACAACAATTTCGCAAATCTACGGCGAGGGCATTGGGCGAGGGACCCTTGGATAAGGGACCTGGGATCTGGAAGCCAAGGGGTGGATTTCAACTGTGGAAAGCCATGGGTATCACCGCCACCCGCATTAGATAAGGAAATCTCCAGGGTCTGAAGCCTCCTGAACTCATTTCTGCACGTGCCCTCGCAACGTCCACGGTGCCTGGTCAATAATCCACGCAAGACACCCGCCCCGCTAACCACCACGTGGGGTTACGAACTGGTGGTCAGCAATGTTGGGCTTATATGTTGCTGTTGCCGACTGCTCTTGCACACTGGCTCAAACACCACCGCCCCAGCCATCCATCATTTCGGCACTTCGAAATGGAAAATGGGGGGTGAGAGGGAAGAGCCAGCACAGCAACAGCAAGGCGCGAACGGCCGTCGGGGTTTTGCAAGACACACAGACTGCAGCGCACAGAAGAAGCATACGAGAAAAGAGTTCCCCAAGGAGTGTCTGCATTTGGGGCCTCTACTGCTCGTCGAAGGAATTTGGCGTGGTGGTCGGTATGGCGGCCATGTGATCGCCGTCGCCGCCCCGTCGCCCCTTCGTTTCCGCCCGTCGTCTGGGCCCGGGGGTCGGTTTGGCGGCCATGTCGTCGCCGTCGCCGTCGCCGCCCCGTCGCCGTCGCCGCCTCGTCGCCGCTCGTCGTCTGGGCCTGGGGGTCGGTCTGGCGGTTCCGTGGTCGCCGTCGCTGCCCCGTCGCCGCAACAAGGACTGCACCAGGTATATCGTACCACGTGTATTGCACCGCGCAAATTCTCTTTAATGACTATTCGGATCTACTCCCCCCCGAAAAAACGGTTCGCTTTGCGTATTGCAATTTGCATACATTTACGCCCCCCCATCGCCCATCCGAAATATGAACCCATACAATCCCAGTCAGGCCGGTCCCGCCCCCCCCCCCCTCATCCTCTGCAACAAATACTACGCGCGCGCGCTCATATATCATTTGTTCAGCGAAGAGAACCTAGGAAAAAATGCGACGAAGCGCTCATGCCACAATCCTTCAAAAACCGCAGATGTCGTCAGCATTTCAAAATAAAGTGCCCCGAAACATAAGACAAAACACGTGTTTTTGGCAACGCCAGTTTCAGCTGCGCTCGCCGTTTTGTAACATATGTTGCTACGAACCATATTCAACATTCAACTGTTTCATTAGATTCTGCCAAACGGGCCTCTCGCGCCGCATGTCGAAATCATTCGAACGCCCCTGCGCGCATGATGGGAGGCACGACCCGTGTAAATGGGATCGTGCGGGCCACTCTCGCGCACCGGCCGCGCGCGCATGTCGAACACCTTCCAAGACCTCAATCACCGACGAGACGACGCCGTCATCGTCGTCGGCATGATCAACATCGGCGCCATCACTGGCTTTGCCGTTCTCGTTGTCGTCATCGTTACCAGCATCGTTACGATCAACATCGTGTATACCGTTGCCGACGGTGCCATGACACCGCGCCCGCCCAAGTCGCCGACTCGAAGTGAAGTGCCCGCTGGGAAGGACTCACCGGTCAGCGCCACCGCGGCCGCGGCGGTCGCGACAAACTAGCTGGCCGCTGTGCGCGCGAGCATGCGCGGGCTTGCGCAGCCGCAAAGATGTACCAGCCAACACCAAGCACTCATCGCAATCGCCGCCGCATGGGCTTATGCAAACCAAATTGAGGGTGGGTGGGTGGGATGGTTGCGCGAACAATGGAGTTGACAGCTCACTGCGAACAGAAGTTGCTTGATTCTCTTTTCTAAACGAAGAATAAAACTCTACCCCCCTGGAGTTAACGGTACACCTTTTCGTATTGAAGTTTACAGATGATTCTGCACATTCGTCCATCTTAAATATGAATTCATACTATCCCAGCCAGGCCGGCATTCGCCCCCCCCGCCATCATTTGCGAAAGAAAACTATGCGCGCACACTCGTTTATCAAAACTCGTAAGTTTTCAATAGTCCCGTGCAAAAAACGGGGCGAAGTGCACACGCGCGAATCATCGAGCGCGCATGCAGGAAGTCTTCAACAACCTTCGGCTTCGGAGGGATCTCACAATCGAGTTTCCCAAGAAACATACAAAAACTCAGGGTTTCGCAACACTGATGTTCTAAAAAAGATTACGCGCGCGCTCTTGCGAAATCTTAAGACAACCATTGGTTGTTCAAGTTTTTCTGTATTATTGTTTTTTAACAACAACAACAACAAAGGGTTTCGCGCGCATGAATGTCGAAATCTTTCGAACGCCCTTTGCGCGCGTGCCGTCACGAGAATCCTCTGCAAAACAACAAGACGAAGTGCAGACGCGCGCGTCGTCGCGCGCGCATGCCGAAATCATTCAAAAACCTTCGGTGCCGGAAAGACTTCAAAATCGTGTCCAAAGAACATACAAAAATACAATGTTTCGAAACACGGGTTTTCAACCAAAGCGTGCGCGCGCGCTCTTGCGTCGTCATCGTCGTCGTCGCCGTCCTCCCCGCTCCCTCGTCGTCGCCGCCGTCCTCGTCCTCTGTCTTTCCTCGTCGTCGTCGTGATCGTCGTCGTCTTTGGCGTCGTGGTCGTTTCCGTCGTCGTTGTCGCCGTGGTCGTCCTTCCTCCTCCTTCCTCGTCGTCGTCGTCCGTCGTCGGCGTCTCGTCGTCGTCCCTCCAATTTCGTCGCCGTCGTCGTCGTCGTCGTCGTCGTCGTCGTCGTCGTCGTCGTCTTCCCTCCTTCCTCGTCGTTGTCGTCGTCGGCGTCACCGTCCTCCCTCCTCCCTCGTCGTTGTCGTCGTTGTCGCCGTCGTCATCCTCGCTCCTCGCCCGTCGTCGTCGTCGTCTCCGTTGGCGACGTCGTCGTCGTCGTCGTCGTTTTCGTCGTCGTCGACGTCGGCGTCATCGTCGTCGCCGCCGTCGTCGTCGTCGTCATCGTCGGCGTCGTCGTCGGCGTCGTCGTCGTCGGCGTCGTCGTCGTCGTCGGCGTCGTCATCGTCGTCGTCGTCGTCGGCGTCGGCGTCGTCGCCGTCGTCGGTGTCGTCGTCGCCGTCGTCGTCGAAGTCGTCGGCGACGTCGTCGGTGCCGTCGTAGTCGTCGTCGGCCGCGTCGTCGTCGTCGTCGACGTCGCTGTCGTCGTCGGCGTCGGTGTCGCTGCCAAGTGCCACGTGGTACCTGTCGTCATGGTTTAAAGAGGTGTTGCAAGTCAAGTTGCGGGTGGGTGGGTGGGATGTTTGCAGGAACATGGGATGTGTCAGATCATGGGTCAAAACCAAGTGCACCACACACACGCATATATATATATATATATATATATATATATATAATACATATATATATATAAATGTACATATGAATATATGTATAACTGTTCCCCTTTCTTAGAGAAAATAAAATGTACCACCCCCCCCGGGACCTATCGACCCCCAGGGAACCGATGCAAAACACATGCTTTTCTGACCCAATGTCCACCCCACCTGTGAATTCATACTATCCCAGCCAGGCCCATATCGTTCCCCCCCCAATTCCCTTGCATAATATGCTGTACGGTGGCATGTTTGTTCGAACATATAAATTGTTCACGACTCCCCTGGAAAAGAAAAAAAGGACAACAAAAAAACGGCACACGCACGCAGCCGCTGCGCGCGCATGTCGCATCCTTACAAACAAATATTGTCTTCAACAAGTGCAACACCCCGCTGCAAGAAAACCTGTTTATCATACAAAAGAATTGCTCTGCCAAAAACTATGAAAAATCTGCCCGCGCGTTTTTGCCGAACCCTTAAAAAACCAACGCTTGTTCAACATTCCTGTCAAAACGGGCTTCCTTGGCAATTTTTGCGCACACGTCGATCTCATTTAACAATGGTCGCGCGCCTGCCAGGGCCACAATCCCTTGCAAAAAAACCCAATGCGGTGCACATGCGCGCGGCCGCCGCGCGCGCAGGCCGAAATCCTTCCAAACACATTGTGGCTTCAACAATTCCACAACCAAGTTTCATGAAATCGCACGAATCGCACCATAATTCACGAAACCAATGCCACAAACGCGCGCGTTTACCGAATCCTGGAGGACAAATGTTCAATATTTCCGTCACGCGGACCACTTACGCGCGCGCGCCGAACGCCTTCAACATCGTCTAACAGCGTCAAATAATTCCATGCGGGCCACTCTCGCGCGTCTGCCGCGCGCTCATTTAGAACTCCTTCCAAAACCTTCAGCACAGACGCGAAGATGCCGTCAGCGGTGTCGACGGGATCAGCATCGGCGCCGTCACTGGCTGCCCCGTCGTCGCTGTCAGCATCGCCACGAGCATCGCTACTGTTATCATCGTGTCTACCGTTGTCGGCGTTGCCATGATACCACGCTCGCCCAAGTCGCCGACTCGCATTGAAGTGCCCGCTGGGATGTGGCTAGCGGTCAGCGCAACCGCGTTAGCGTCGGCCGCGCCAACTAGCTGGCCGCTGCGCGCGTGAGCATGCGCGGGCTAGCGCGGCCGCGCAGATGCACCAGCCAACGCCAACCTTTTCATCGCAATCGCCCTGGCAGTGGTTTTGCAAACCAAATTGCGGGTGGATGGGTGGGATGGTTGCGCGAGCAGTGGAATTGACAACATCAAGTTCGCCAAATGAACTGCATACCATAGACTGCATAACGTATATTGCACAACAAAGCATGTTCCACATCGAGTACTCAATAGAGGTTGCGCACCACACCACTTGCACCACGTAGGTGGCACCACACTGACTGCACCACACAGATTGCGCCACATAGAACACACAGCACGGAGCCAATACACAGCATAGACACTCTGCTCTAAAAAAGACTCGGATCTACCACCACCCCCTCCCCCAGGGTCATCCGTCCACCCTGGGATGTGGAATTTACATACGATTCTGCCCCATCGCTCATTCGAAGTATGAACACAAACCATTTCAACTAAACCGTTATCGGCCCGCCCCCCACCCCTCCACCTCGCCAAAGAGTATGATGCCCACACACTCGTTTATCAAAGATCATCAAGTTGCTGATTTATTTGCGAGAATGAAAGACATGCACAAGCGCGCGTCGTCGCGTGCGCATGCTGGAATCCTTCATACAACCGTTGGCTTCGAACGGATTTCGACATCGAACCTCCCGAACACACGTCTTCTGTAAAAACACTGTGTTACAATACGTTTGTTTAGAGAGTCTGTGGGCGTCGCGAACTGTTATGGAAACCGAATGTTTTCAACCTCTCCATCAAATGCGACGAAACGGGCCCCTCGCGCGCGCATGTCAAAAACATTCGAACGCCCTTGCGCGCGTGCTGGGGGGTGGGTGCGATCCCTGTCAAATAAAATCATGCGGGCCACTCGCGAACGCCGGCCGCGCGCACGTCGAAATCTTTACCAAACGTTCATCACCGACACGTGGACACCAGCATCGTCATCGGCGTGATCAGCATCGGCGCCGACATTGGCCTTGCGTCATCGTTGACTTGTCAGTAGCATCGTTACTATCATAATCGTGTCTGCCGTTGTCGACGTCACCATGATAGCGCACCCGCCCAAGGCACCGACTCGCGCTGAATTGCACCCGCGTCAGCGCGGCATGCGAGACGCGCTGGGAAGTGCTCTGCGGTAATCGCCACCGCGGCCGCGTCGGTCGCGTCAGACTGGCTGGCCGCTCTGCGCGCGAGCCTGCGCGAGCTAGCGCGGCCGAATGGCCGTCGGGGCTGGGGCAGGACGCACCGACTGCAGTGTGGACCTGGCAAAGTCAGGGCCCTACCAACCGACCGCTCAAGGGTAGCAGCAGGAGCGGGAAGAGGGAGGGGTGGAGGGGGGAGGGAGAGAGGAGAGAGTCGCTGGGAGAAGCTGGGCTAGTCTCTGTCGCCACGCTCACTCCGCCCTCGCTCACAAGGACCCGGCAGGCAATGCCTGAAGAGAGAATGCTGGGGAAGGGGGAAGACGCGTCGCCCTTGTCTCACCCCGCGCGCTTCTCGTTATGTTGGTTCCAACTGTGCCTTTCCCCATTACGGACGCAACGAAAAAAATAGAGGCCTCTGAGATGGGGTCCGAGCAGGTGGGGTCGGAAGATCGCACCGCATCGCCAATGCATCGGCGCTGCATCGCCGGAGTCGGCGACGCATCGGCGAAGTCGGCGTGGAGAAAATCGGGCTCCGCATCGAGCCACATCGCCGATGCGTCAGCGACGCGGCGCGATCCTCCGCCCCCATCTGCTCCGACCCCACCTAGGGAGCCCAGAAAAACGTCCCACTCCGCACTCCGCGCGATCCTCTTCGCACCCTCGCGTCGACGCACACACACACACACACACACACGCGCACACACGCACACACACACACACGCACACACACACACACACACACACACACACACCGCCGCTGGGGAAGCGCAGGCCTCTGCGGCCCGGGCCGCGCAGCGCAGAGCTCGGCGCTCCTCCTCGTCCGCGCCCCCGAGGTGGGGGGCCTCTGCGCCGCTCCGGGGGGGGGGGGCCTCGTCCTGGCGGGAAGCTGGCGCCTGGGGCGAGGGGTCCGCCGGCAGAGGGAGCAGGAAGAGGAGGAGGAGGAGGAGGAGGAGGAGGAGGGGGGTCAAAGAGGAGCGGGAAGCAGGAACAGGGGGACCAAAGAATGAGGGGGACCACAGAAGGAGGAGGGAGCAGGAAGACGAGGAGGAGGAGGGCGAGGAGGCTCGATACAGGAGGAGGAGGAGGAGGGGGACCAAAGAAGAGATGACGACATAAAGGAGAAGGGCGAGAAGGCTCGGCGCCCCATTGCACGGGAGGCTGGCAAGCAGGCCCGGGCGACGCTGCGATTCGACCGATCTCGGGCTGTGGACTCGTTCTTCCCACGGTGGCTCACAAGCGCGCCTTGCCACCTCCCTTGGGCGAGAGCACGTGGCTGACGAGCTGAGTGGCCTCGAGCATCTCCTCGCGGGCGCAAATGTATCAGAGAGGGGCACTGAGCACTGTCAGAAATAGGATAGGAAGCAGGGGGAGGTGAGGAGGAGGAGAAAGAGCAGGGAGTGCGAATGGCGGGCGGTGACTGGGTGAGGGAGACCGACTGGGGGAGGGAACTGCGAGATTTGTCGGCTGAGAGCGTGAAAGACCTTTCAAGGAGCCCTCACTGTCGTATGAGCGGCGCTCCCAATGCCAGCGAGAATCCATATCGAGATGAACAAATCCATGACTTCTGGATAACAAACTGGCTCGCGCTCGCTCACTCAAGGTGTCGACCATCCGAGGAAGAGAGGTGAAGTGGAAAGCAGACGACCCCCCCACACGAGCAGGCAGCGGGGCCAGGGCAGCCAACCAATCAAGCAGCAAGCACGACCAGCCAAGCCGACAACCGACCGACCGACCAACTACGTAGCAAGCACGACTAACAATCAACCAGCCCAGAAGCCAAACGGACCTGGTTGACGGTCCTCACAGGGCCTGAAGCCTGATGAGGATGAGGGAGAGGAGGGAGGGAGGGAGGGAGGGAGGGAGGAAGGCAAGAGAGGAAGAGGAAATGTGGGAGAGGGAGGGAGAGGAAGGAAGAGAGAGGGAGGGAGAGGGAGGGAGGGAGCGAGAACGAGAGCGAAAAAGAGAGAGAGAGAGAGAGAGGGAGGGAGGAGGAACAAAAGGAGGAGGAGGAGGAGAAGCAGGAAAAGGAGAGAGAGAGAGAGGGAGGGAGGGAGAGGAAGGAGGAGAGGGCAGGCTCCTTCATGTTCTGTTCCTGCAGCCTCGTGAGGATGCGCTGCATGACCTCGGTTTGCAAGCCCGCTGGCAACTTTTCGCGCTATATACCTCTGCGCGATGGGCTGCGCCGACTGCACTGACCAGCACTGCGGTGAAGAGGCCTACTTCTGTCAGCGTGGCCCGTACCCCTGGTCTGCTGAAAGAGAAGAGGGGCACTGAGGGACAGTGCCGCGTGCCAGACCCAGGCACATTCGAGTCGCGCATAAATCACGACGACGGGATTTGGCGGTTTTCAGCATCGCCGGGCCCCGGGACCGTCCAACAACGACCTGGGACGAAAAAACAGGCCTGGGGAAAGGATCGAGACTTCGCTTGTGGATGCCATGAGAATGGACACCCTAACACTCCGATCATTGAGGTAAAACATGTTTACAATTTATATGAAGAATGTTCTACACACGTGTGAAAGCATGTTTTTGTATATGTTTGAGACATGCTTAAACCATATCTAGACATCTGGAAATTAACTATTTGGCAACATGCTTCCTCTCCACTGATCGCCGTCCACAAGACTCCGTGGGGCCGCAGCGACAACATCGGGGCCCCGCATGTCTGGGGGAGCCTGCGGTCCGGCACTCGACGCCGTGCCCCGCGGGCGGCGGCCCCGGCGACGCGGCACGCCCTGCGAGCGGACGGCGCGCCGCCCCGCCTCGCGGGGCGGGGGGGCTTCCGGCAGGCCGCGGACGTCGACACTCGGGCAGCGGGACGTGCCTCTTCCTGTGGCACGGCAGGGCTGGACCTGACCGCTGCGTGTTCGCTCTGTTGGTTCGTTCTGTGGTTCGCTTTTTGCCCTGCCTGTCCTCCTGTACCTCCCTGCCACAATAGGGGGAAAACAAACCTACCTCGCTATTGACCACCCTCGCTTCCAAGAGATACCAAACGATGCCAAATTGCAGCCTGTACTGGTCAGGCCGCTTGACGAGGAGGCGCGTGGTATGGCTTGGTTTTGCCTGGAAGCGAAAGCGGGGTAGGTAATTCACGCTCTGACACAAGCGAGAAAGAGGACACAGCCGAAGCCCAGCAGAGCCACGCCCAGGCCCAGCCCCTGCGGCACGGCCCGAGGCCCCCGGGCAGTGCCAGCTCGCCGGCCTGGAGCCAGGCCTCCTCGCTCCTCCGAGGCCCTCCGTGGGCTCTTCGGGTCGGGCGAAAGGGGGGGATTGGGAAAGGGGGGGGTACGAAATTTGCTGCATGCAGCTGGTTTCGGCCTCACCGAGGGGCCCATTCCTCGATACATAGCCGCCTCCGGCGCCGGGAGGCGCCGGGAAAATCAGCTACGTGAGCTGATTCTCAAACCCCCCCTTTGCTATCCCCCCCTTTCGCCCGACCCGAGCTCTGGGCGGAGGCTGCCGGTGGGGACGACTCGGTGGCAACTGATGGGAACCTCCCACACCAGCTCGTCGGCTCTTGCGAATCGACGCCAACCGACGCCAAATCGGCGCTACATCGACGCTACATCGACGGATTTCAGAGGCCATTGGAGGCTCCCGTCACCTGCCACCGAAGGACGAGGCCCTGCGGACGGCGCAAGCAGGTCGTGCATAAGCGCTGAGCACTCTTCAGAGGTGAGCGTTTTTTTAGTCGGCGGCTCGACATTGGGCGGAAGGGAGGGGGAGGGGGGGGTCTGGCTCCGGACCTCTGCTCACTGCGACTGTTTGCCACAGGGCATCGACTATGGGGGAGGCTCCACCTGCTCGAGACAGGCGCCAAAAACAGCCGAGATCTACTCCTTCGGCGGGGGGGGAGGGGGGAGGGCTGCGAGGGCCCGCGCCGATCGGCAAGACAACGAATAGAATGACGACCACAGGGCTGCCGCCTCCAATCCTTCTTGCTTCACGCGGCGCCAGGGCCACGTGCCCCGGGGCGCTCGCGAGCAGGCCGGCGAGCGCCCCCAAAGGGCAGCCGACGTGGCGAGGGCACTCCCGCGGCTCTGCCAGGCGGCGCGGCCTGGGCCGGCGGGTCGCCCGCAAGGACGCGGCAGTCCCCAGGGCGTGCCATGGCTTGGGCTGTTTCGGCGGTGGGCAGGCCTCCCTTCGGTTTTTGCCACCCTTTAGGGGAAATGGCCCGGGACCGAGACCGGCGCACCTGGACCCGCAAGAATGATGGCCGCGACGCCCTCTCGCGAACCGAAAACGGCCCATTCGCTAGTCGACGTGTCAGGGCAGGAGGTCTATCGACCTCCGGCCGTTCGGTACGGCCGCCACCACCACCGCTCGAGTAGGAGATCGCCTACAGAACTGATCCTACCACAACATCAGCGCGTCCGTCGGAATAACGAAAGAGTACGTCGAATGCTCGTAGATCTACATCCATTCGACGTATTCTCTGGTAGATTCGACGAAACTGTGACTTCTGGGATAAATCGATTCTGTGGTCGACCCCCTACTCGAACCACTGAGCCATGCATCTGGCAGGACGCGTGGGAGGAGGAGCGTGCGGTTGGCAGCTCTTCGGAGGAGTCGCTACCTCATGCGAGAAAACGGATGTCCCACCAAGTGGGATTGATCATGCTGCGCTCTTGCTGCTGGCGCAGCGAAAGCGGACACGTCGGGAACCGACCAGACTCTCCATTGGAGTTCCCCACAGGTCCCGGAAGACGATAGTCAAACTCTCACATCTCTCTATGGGTCAAGTGCCCAGACCGCCAACGTAATGATTTTGTTCGTAACGTCGACCCCCAAAGGTCTCGAGCGATTCCCCGGGACCAGTCTTTCATCCTGAGTCGATTTTTGACCGTCCCCAGGCCCGGCAAAGACACCCAGAGGCCGAAAATAGGGAAAAACCTCCCGTCATGATTTTTTCATGACCCGAGGGGGTCTGGGTGCGAGGTCCCCAGAAATCCCGACCCGTTCCCCGTGGCTGGCATTTCATCCCGAGTCATGATTTGATGGTCCCGGAGCCTGGCGAGGGCCTCTGGAGACCGAAGGCTGCCAAAAGAAACTCTCGTCGTGACCTGCTCGCGTCTCGAGCATGCCTGGGGCACGAACTTTCGTCAGCGCTAGACTCGACGTTCCTCCTCCTCCTCCTCCTCCTCCTCCTCCTCCTCCTGCTCCTCCTCCTCCTCCTCCTCGTCCTCCTCCTCCTCCCGCCTCCCGCCTCTCCCGCCTCCTCATCCTGGCGCGTCGCCGCTCCCGCCTCTTCCTCCTCCTCCTCCTCCTCCTCCTGCGGCTTCCTCCTCCTCATCCTCCTCCTCCTGCTGCTCCTTCTCCTCCTCCTCCTCCTCCTCCTCCTCCTCCTCCTCTCGTCCTCCTCCTCCTCTCCTCCTCCTCCTCCTCCGCCTCCTCCTCCTCCTCCTCTCTTCCTCCTGCTGCTGCTGCTGCTCCTCCTCCTCCTCCTCCTCCTCCTCCTCCTCCTCACCCTCCCGCATCTCCCTGCCTCTTCCTCCTGGCGCGTCGCCGCTCCCGCCTCCTCCTCCCGCCCTCCTCTCCTCCTCCTCCTCATCCTCCTCCTCCCCTGCGGCCTCCTCCTCCTCCTCTCCTCCTCCTCTCCTCCTCCTCCTCCCCTCCTCCTCTTCCTCCTCCTGCTCTCCTCCTCCTCCTCATCATCCTCCTCCTCCTCCTCCGCCTCCTCCTCCTCATCCTCCTTCCCCCTCTCCCTCTCCTGTTCCGACTCGTCCGCCTCCCCTCCTCCTCCCATCTCCTCCTCCTTCTCCGCCACCGCCGGCGCCTCCGCCTCCCTCCTCCTCCCTTTCCTCCTCCTCCTCCTCCTCCTCCTCCTCCTCCTCCTCCTCACAAGTTCAAGGACCGCCGCCCGCCCGCTCCCGCCCTCCTCCTGCTGCTGCTGTAGCCGCCGCTGCCATCATCCTTCAACTCGCTTGGCGATTGCCTCATCTCATCTCATCTCATCTCATCTCATCTCCTCCTCCTCCGCCTCCTCCTCCTCCTCCTCCCCCCCTCCTCCTCCTCCTCCTCCTCCTCCCCCTCCTCCTCCTCCTCCCCCCCCCTCCTCCTCCTGCTCCTCCTCCTCCTCCTCCTCCTTCTCCTCCTTTCCTCCCTCCTCCTCGTCCTCCTCCACCTCATCCTCCTCCTCTTCCTCCTCCTCTCCCTCTCGTCCACCCGCATCCTGTGTGCGATGTCGTTGGCCGTTCAGGGGCAGGGAGATGATGCTTGCTTGCAGCGCACTCGCGTTCTCACAAGCCACGGCATGATGCATGAACTTGTCGATCGTATATCGGTGTATGAGGCCTTCATGGTCCGAATGGCGACATGTCGATTCGCCTTGCAGCTGCCGCATCGTTGACTCGAGCAGGGATGGTCGCCTTCCGTTCTCCGTTCTCCCCTCCAGGAAAAAAGGCAACATTAGGGGGGCTGGCTTGGGGGGGGATGCGTCGACACCCAAATCGCCCATCGATCGCCGACAGGGGCCCAATATCCCACCAAGCCCAGGAACGTACGGTTTCGCTATGGAGTGCCTATCGCCGATCAATCAGCCATGCATCGCCGATTCAATGACGATGCTTCCCACCCTGGGCCGGTGCCCCACTACCGTTGCCCCTCAAGAGGGGAGGGGGGGAAGAGATGGCGAGAGACAAGCCAGACGCGCTCGCGCCTTACCTAACGTCCTACCCCGTCCTCCCGTTCATGCCCATTACACCGATTGCTTCTCTATCCTCCGACCTTTGTCATAGCCAACCTGGAACTCCCCCCCCAAACAAAAAAATCGTGATATGCGCAGTCGGAGAAGGGGAACTGCACACACACACACACGAGGAATGAGGATGGGGTGGCGGGTGAGCAGAAGGATGGGCAGGAGGAAAAGGAGGAGAGCGAGGAAGGAGGAGGTGGCGGGTGAGCAGGGCGGGTCGTTTTCGAAATGTGGCTCTCGCCTGAACGCCGCGCACATTCGTCGCAAAAGTTCGCAATAGTTCCACGGATAGTGGGCGGGCCAGTTTCGAAATGTGGTTATCGCTCTAGCGCCGCGCACACCCGTCTTGAAATATTCCAGCAGATACACCGATGGAGGGCGGACGGTGTTCAAAATGTGGTTCCCACTTGAGCGCCGCGCACAGTC